GCAGGACTGCGCACTGATATAACTAATCTGTCCCCTGAGCAGGAATCCAGTATAATCTAAAGATGCACGGAGGTCTTCCTTTGTGGGTGCATCCCCACCGTGCAGCGTGGCCCAAGGCACCGCGCTGTACCAGGAAGACCACGGACCTGGCCCACAGTCCGGGAGACCCAGCCCCACGCCCGTGGCCTCTGCGGCCCGGAATGCTGACCTCTCAAGGTCCCGTCAGCTGTGATATGGCATGAAAGTGTGACTTGAAATGAAAGGAAGATCAAAGATGGGAAAGGCAGTCAAATCTGCTTGCTCCTTCCACGGGAAGTTAGGAGTTTAAAGAAAGCAAAACTGGGCCTGCTCTCCCTCTTGGGAGCACGCCCGTGCCTTTCTCTCCCCCGCTGCTTCTCGCCAGGTGTGTTACCTTTGCCTTCCTCTCTCCTGAGCTACACGGGCCCTTCTTTTGCTTCTGTAACTAGTTTCTTCAGCCCATCTCTTCTACGGCTCATTTTTACTACCTCTGCAACTTTCTCAATAAACCTTCTCTAAAAAAAAAGCAGAACTGATGTAAAAACGTGGGCTTCAATATTTATAGGTTAAACCCAGCAGAGATTTTTACCAGTTTCTAACCGCCGATTCCCCCTCTCTTGATTTAAAAGTATAAACACTGTAGGAATTTTGCCAAGCAGGAAAACACAGTAATGGAAATTAAACTCACCCACTGTCCCATCCTCTAGAGATAAAAAGACAGGCATACCTCGGAGGAGACGCTGAGGGTTCAGTTCCAGGCAACTGCAGTAAAGTGAGTCATGACCTTTTTGCTGGTGGAGGAAGTGTCTTGTCTTCAATTTGTTTAAAAGGAAAAATCTGTGAAGCACTATAAAGCGAAGCACAATAAAATGTTCTTTACAAGTAACATTTTGGCACAGTTTTCAGTAACTAAATCTACTATATTTTTCTCCCCTCTCTGAGGGAAAATTTTCTCTGTATATGTATCCTGATTTTTTGTTTCAGTGAAAGCTTCATCATAAGCATGTTCCTACATCACCAGATATTCTTTATGCAGTTCTTACAACTCTTCAGTATTCCATCACAGGCATATACCATTCTAACTTAGTCATCCATTAGTGGGAATTTATAGCTGCAGTAAATAACTCTGATAAAAGAAGTGTTACGATGTTCAACTTTGCACCTAAATCTTTGCTTCTCTTATTCTTTCTTTGGCATAAATTACCAGCTGTAGAATTATTCACTGGTCCAAATGTGTGTAAACAGTTTGAAGGCTCTTACACGTGTTGCCAGATGCACGTTTTAGCATCTGTGTCTCTGAGCTTCCAGAGAAGTAACAATTTACTTTCCTCTCTTCACTCCGCTTGTCAATTGCATCACTGTTACAAACCCTGCCAACTTTCTACAGTTTCTTTTTAAAATGTCACTTTTTTTAACTGCATATGGGCTAAAGTTTGTTATTTGTTGAAACAACATTGTAGGGGGAAGAATTCAGACTTGAGTTTTTGTGCACCCACACGTACAATGCCCTCTTGTTTACTGCTAGTGAGTGCCGCACTCTTAGAGTGTGGGTGGTGACCTTTCCTTGGCCAATCCCATGAGGCTGTGTTTAGGGACACGCAGCTGGTCTGCTATATGGCCAGGATTTTGGTACCCAGATCGCTGGACTCAAATAAATACAATTCGTTTACTTATTGTACTATACCTCACCTGCCACCAATGACTTAGAATATTCTTTGTAAGAAACTCTAAAATACATTTTAAGAGACTCTATAATATTATTCACAGCTTACCACTTTCTTAAAGTTCCTGAGTAGAATAAAAACTATTAAACTCTAAAGTCCATAATCACTCTGGGATTCTGCTTCATCAGAAGACACCTTGGTCTCTTGCTCCTTGTCTGGTCCAAAGGAAGGCTGTCCAACCACAGGGTTTAAGGGCTTGCTCTCTTTTTGCCCAGACTGGCTGCCAGCATTTGCGAAGGGTTGGACCTGGGTGATGCTGGTTGGATGACAGGCACTTCCGCCCACGTGCAAACCACAGGTGGCACTGAATCATGTGCTCTGTGTGTGCGTGTGTGTTTTCTTACGGCAAGGGACAGTGAGGCTCCATACCTTTACACTGGTCTTCTATGCAGTGCACGTTGAAAACTGGCTTTTAGATCTTTAGACACAAAATAGGTACTGTAGCGATTTCGGGACCGTCTATTTGTGTTGGGGGCCTCATCTGGGTCCAGGACTGGGCCAGAGTTGAACGGTCCTCTTCTTACAGCAGCGGAACCCGCTGCCTTTAGCCGCGGTGTCACTGCTGGACTGCATCACAGCGGAGTGGCAGCTTGGTCCCCCGCGTGGGCCAACAGCGGGAGACGGTTTTACTACTTTCTTTATAATTTTTAATTTAATTTATTGGGTTGCGACTGGTTAATAAAATTATGTAGGCTTAAGGCATACACTTTTAGAATACATCATTTGTATATTGTGCGTTCACCCACAGGATAAAAAATCGAGCTTCTGGCTCCCGCAACACTCACTCTTTCCCCGGTCTCCAGCTGAAACGACCTCCCACCCCGCCTCGCGCGGGTGCGAAGCTCCAGCAACCACGACTTCTGCAGAAGCGCAGGGCTCTGCCGCGGCACGTCACCAACAGGCGCGGGGCGGGGCTCGCTGAGACGTGGGCGGGGCTCGCTGGGACGTGGGCGGGGCCCGCTGGGACGTGGGCGGGGCCCGCTGGGACGTGGGCGGGGCCAGGGCTGGCCCTGGCCGCGACTCTGACCCAGGACCGCGCTGCGGCTTTTCCTGGGAAGTAGAGGCACAGGGTCTGAAAGGGTCACCATCATTTACCGTTTTCCTCCCTAGAAGGAAGTAGAGAGTTCCAGCCCCAAGTTCACCGGACTATTAATTCTGCTGACATTTATGAAGCTCGCACAGCACCGTGTTAAGAGTCTCTATGATTCTGGTGTGTCATCTTCTACCAAGCTTGGTGCTAGGTGCTAGGAATTCAAATAACTGCAGTCATCACCAGCCCACTTTACAGATGCAGAAACTGAAGTTTGGAAAGATTAGGACCGATCTAGGTCACACAACTAGTGAGTGACAATTCATCAAGGCCCAGTTTCCTCCTAAATATCCCTGGAGCCCACCCACCCCACCCTGCACTCGCCCGGTACCGCTCTGCCCCAGACCCCTCTGTCCCTCTGCTCTAGACTATCCCGGCCTCCCACCTGGCCCGCAGGGGTCTGCCTCCGCCCCTGTTCGGTCTGTTCCCTTCATTATGTACAGATTTACCCCCGGAGATGGGTGGGTGGCAGGTTTACAGAGGGTTCACGTTGTGACTGTTTTATGCTTTACACATGGTATCAAGTTTCTGGATGTATTTAATGTTTAATTCAAGATGTTTTAAAGGGGGAAAAAAACCCCTAACTTCTGAGCTGGTTTCTAACCCTGTTCCTCCTAGTCATTATGGTCTCCAGTTGCAGTGGAAAACACCCGGAGGTTTCCACGACCAGGAAAGCCTCTCTCAGCAGAGGGGGAAAGTGCTTAGAAATACTCGGAGCAAAACGGCTTTGAGAGGGGAAGGCTGGGGAGAGAAATGAGAAGCAACCAGAGGGCCAGAGATGGGGTGAATCGGGACTGAGAGGGCGGGTGGAAGAATTAGCCGAACGGGAAGCTCAGAATAGAAGATATGAAAGAAAGTGCCAACTAGTGAAAATACTGCAAGAGGATGGGTGGAGGGGGGCCAACGACTGGGGATCGGTTTAGAAAAATAGCAATTAGCACAGCTAAAAATAAAGTCCAATTTAGAGACAAAGCCCAATACACAAGGAGAAAAATAAGACTCGCTAGAAAGGCAATTCTTCGTAAAGCAAATGCTCAAGGAAATGGGGCTAATGATATCCCTTTTGGGGATGTTTTGCAGAAGAAACAAGATAATAGATTAGAATGGGGCGCGTGGCGCTGAGCAGGTGACTAGCGGCGGGAGAGAAAAAAAAAAATCAGATTCAGAGCGCAGTCGAGCATTGAGCGCAGTGTCCCGACCGGAAGATACGCCTCGTGTCCCCAAAGTTAGAGAAGTGTCCCCTGCCAGCCTGTGTGCGAGGCAGAGGCATTGCTCTGCGCTGGAACCCATGGAGTTTCTACAGAAGTCCCCCGAGGTCCGCCACTGTAGCCTCAAGGCCAAGGGCAGAAGGTGTCCAAGTTTCAGCTTCCACGCAGCGCGGCCGGGGAGAGGGTGCCCACCCGTGGAGTCTCGGCTCACTCCGCTTGAGGTCACCGTGCGTGGCCCGAACCCTGGAGACACCCCACAGGCATTCGCTGCCGTGGGAAGGCCCAGAGCCCACGGAGTCGCGGGGCGGGCAAGCGCAAGAACTCTGGATACTGGATAGAGGGTGGGGGCGAGAAAGCGAGGAAGCGAAAGCCATAAGTCGCAGCCGGGTTTTGCAGAACCACGAGGCCTCGGCTTCCCAGTCTGTGAACCCGGAGAGGACCCCGCCTGCCACCTGCGGGGAATTTGTGCAGCACCCCTCCCCAGAAAATACAAGTAATGCTCACACAGAAAATAAGGAGGAGGGCAGAGTGGATAAAAAGTTAGGCACAAATGTTACTCAGGTTGCCAGGTGCGCCGGTGCGCCCGCGGCATCGTGCCCGTTTCTCGCGGCTGCAGGGAGAGAGCAGGGCACCGAGATAGACACTGGAGTTGGGAGCCGGGCGGGCGGGGCCCGGGGGGCAGCATCTCCCGCGAGCCCCAGAGCGGCAAAAAGACTCGGGACCTGGAGCCGCGCGCGAACCTCTGGGTTCCTAAGTCCCCGGTGGCGTGGGCTCTTTCTGGGCGAGTGCGCTCGTCTCAGGCCCGGGGCCTGGCCCCGGGTTTCGGAGAGTCACCCGGCTCCGCCCTGGCCCGCCCTGGCACCCCGGGGCGGGACCCTGAGGCCCCCTCCGGGTGGGCGGGCTGGGAGCAAGGAGCGCGCCACGCGGCGTCAAGTCAGAAGGGCGGCGGGGCGGGGGCCAGCCGCTCTGGGGCGGTGCTGAGCCGGCTCCTCCTCTCCTCCTCGTCCTCCTCGCCTTCCTCCGGCTCAGCAGCCGCGCGCCCAGTCGCACCTCCTTCCAAACCCGGGCACCCGCGGAGATGTTTAACCGCGCGGTGAGCCGCCTGAGCAGGAAGCGACCGCCGTCCGGTAAGCTGCTCCCGGGGCCCGCGGGCTGGGGGTCGGGGCGCCCCGAGGGGCCTCCAGGAGCCGTGGGGCATCCTTCCCTCCCTCCTGGACTCGGGCGAGGCTGGGCGATGCCGCCCCGACGAGAAGCCCGGCCGCCCGCGCCACTTCTTCCCGCGCGGTCCAGCGTTCCTGTGGTTCCAACCGCCGTGGGAGCGCAGAACCCGAGAGGCTTCTGGGGGAGGAATTTTGGCCGCAAGGAGGAACAGCAGCAGTTTTCTTTTTAGTGATTGGGAGGAAAGGAGATGCAAAATACCTCCAAACTTTGCATTTAGGCTTCCAAAGCTGAGCGTCGTGCGGGTCCCCGGGTTCCTGGAGTTCTCTGCGCTGCAGGCGCTGTAGCGCAGCATGACTGTGCGGCGCCCGGAGGAGGCACGGCGTGACCCCAGGCATCTGCCTGGGCATGCGGGCTTTGGCGCCTTCAGCCCTGCACCGCCGAGCCTCAAAGTGGGGTCGTGAGGGAGCGTGAACATCAGGGTGGAGAGGGGCTCCTCTGGTAGTCCGAGTCAGGGAAGACCTGACATTACAAAGGTATAGGCTTGGCTGTCACTCTGGACCCCCCTGAGCTACAATTTGGGGCAACCCGATAGGACAGAAAACCTGGTGAAGAGGAAACCGTGCCCTGGATTCCAACCTTTTTGTTCGTAATAAAGGCTACGCCCCTTCGAGTGCTTGATGTGGGTCCAGGACTGTGTTCATCCTTAGGACAGCCCTGTGAGATAGACATGGTCGTGACCACTTCACAGAGGGAGGCCCTGAAGCCAGGGGCTGTCAGGGAACTTGCCCCCTGGGTCGCACAGTAGCAGACACCTGACCCTGGAGGTCAGAGGCTTTTCCGCTGTCTCCCACTTTGGGAGTGCCTTCTGCTTCCTGAGAGTCTGCACATGCCGGTCCCTGCCCTCTTTCCCCTAATGTCTTTTCACGAGGGACACTGTGTTTAAGAGGATGGGCCGGGATCCAGACTGGCTGGGTCCCCAATCCCATCTCCACCTCTTAGGAGCTGCAGCACCTGTGTGTGTGTGTGTGTGTGTGTGTGTGTGTGTGTGTGTGTGTGTGTGTGTTGCAGAGAAGGATCTACAAGATGGATTGATCGTAGCTACGCCTTGTAGAGTACTTAATTGGAGCTGGTTTCCCATCCATCAGGTTATGCAAATCATGGCAGTTAGTATTTAGGACAACCCTAATAAAGGAGAACTTCATAGTGCTACTGTAAGGAGCTCATTTGAGTGTTCGTGGTCATGTAAACATTGCCTTGCGGGCTGTGGGTCAAAGCAGTCCCTTGTGGGTGCTTGTTTTCGCTCTTGCCCGCGGACAGGGGAGCAGTAGCCAGAGCCTGCATCCCAGAGTTGACTCCTGCTTCCCAGCCTCACTATCACTTAGCAACCTGGGGCAAGTTTCTGGACCTCTGAGCCGACTGCTAAATTATCGAAAATTTGGGTGCTGGTTGCTAAAGCATGCCTAGCTTGAAATTGGCTATCGTTGGATATTTATACCAGGGAAATTGGCAAATGCTAAAAATCCAGCTTTTTTTTTCTCCCTAGGAGAGCTGATTTGCTAGTACATCTCTGGGTCCACTTCCCCATCCATAAAGTGAGTTCACGGAGGTGGAGGCTTAAATACATACAATGGATGAAGCCCCTGGTACACTGCCTGGCACGTAATAAGTAATCACTTATGGCTAGTTGTTATCTCCCCACCCCACCCGTCCCTATTATAATGGAGCTGTGGTGCACAGGTTATGCATTGCTGTGGATCATTGTGGGTTTGAAGTCTCCAAACAGAACAACTGAATTACAGGTGCAGGCACGGTTTTTAGGGTACTGTTGCCTATTGGCAGGTTGCACCCCAGGAAGATGGGGGCAGTTTTAGGGATACCAGTGGAGGATTCCTCTTTCAGGACAACACGTTTTAAGACTGATGAAATGTTGTTAGGTCACTGACAGGAAGATCAGGAGTTACCAGTCATAATGTGGCATTGGATGCCTGGTGTCCAAGGGCCAGATTTCTGTACAATTTTTAGGTTTAAAGCCTGCCCACCCCCTCAGAAAGGACAAATTAGGTCCTGCCAGTGGGTCATCACCCAGCAGGGGGAAAAGAAGGAGCCAGTGAAAAAGGGGGAGTGTGGGCTCCGGAAACAGGGTACTGCTCACAAAGCCAGCCACGTGACCCACGGGACCCTGTACTGATTTTTTTCTTTTTTTGGTGATTCTGAATTAATGCTTCTCGAGTGGCCCCATGAAGCAGGATCAGGCTCTGCAGGACCCCTGATTTGGCCCCGGCCATGGTCCTGTCTCCCACAGCCTTTTATTCCATTGGGAGTGTCCAACCTGCGGCCCAGTACGGCCGTGAATGCGGCCCAACACAAAACCGTACATTCACTTAAAACCTTATGAGATTTCTTTGTGATTACATGTCTCAATGTATGTAATGTGTGGCCTGAGGCCGCTCTTTTTCCAGCGTGGCCCAACCAAAAGGTTGGACGCCCCTGGTCCTTACCGGTTGGGGACAATGTCTTTCAGCTGAGGGTTTGGGGTTCCCAGCCCCTTATCCTCCTTCCTGAAGTTTCTCAAAATGTGTTCCCCAACCGTGTGGGGGGAGATGGGGGAGGAGCTGATGAAACGCAGCTTTCCGGGCCACGCCCCAGACTCACTGATTCAATCTTGGTGACCAGGGCTAGAGAGCGAGTGGGTGATTCCCAGGTCACTGAAGTGTGGAGACCCACTGAAGGATTTTGCCCCCCCTTCCCCCCACAACCACCTGCACTGTTGCTAGTAACGGTGACACTACTTAGTTGAAAAGCAAAGCCGAAGCCACAGCCCTGCGACCAGACTGAGGCCTGCAAAGGAATCCCCACCTGCCCACCAGGCCTCGGCCCACCCCCAGGCCTGTTCTGCATTATCCCATTAAACTTTTGGGGCCAGTTTCAGATTTATTGCTGGGCTTAAGTTTTTATTTAAAGATGACAGTTGACATAGCAATTTAAAGTCTTTGTTTTAACAATCCAGCAGTGGGTCAGGACAGGCCCCTGGGGAAACTTTCACTGCAGAACACCCCTGGCTGGGGCCTTGGTGTTTAGGGGGAGGGAAGCAGGGGTGCAGAGAGGCCGAGCAGGGCCCAGGGGCGGCACCGTATTTAGGTTCGGTCCATGCCTAGCCGGCTGAGTCCGCGGTGCCAGCTCTGAGCACCACCGAGGGCGGCCCGCAGACTGGTGGCTGGAGAACCTCATGGTGCTTTACTTTCACTGCCTTTGTAGTTGAACTGCTGTCTCCCGATCCTCACTGTTAAAGAAACCTAGACAGGTGCCCATTTCCTGGGTGAACTGAGTCACTTCCCCCTGGGGTTGAGTAATCCCCTTAGGCCCCCGACGCTGGGCTCTGGGAACTGGTTTTTTATACTAAATTTACTCTCACCAGTTTCTTCTGCTTCCCTCAGATAGCCGCCCCGGCAGCGGCACTGGGGGTGGCCGTGGGGCCCCTGGCAGGCGACAGCAGCAGGTCCTCGATAAGGCTGCCGGGAGGTGGGCACTGCAGTGAAGTAGCCCCTTGCAGACTTCCTGGGACAAGTTTCCCTTCCACGCAAGTTCCCATTTCTCGAGGGCCCTGCCTGTGGGTCAGCTTTTCTCTCTCCTGTGTAGGGTGCTCAGGGACCCCGTAATCTGGCCTGCCGTCCCCTGTGCCAAACCAGTCTCCCCACTCCAGCAAACCTGCTCTCCCAGGCCCCCCGCCTCCCTCTCTCTCTGCCCCTGAAAAGCAGCCTGTCCATGTCAGTCTCCCCGGACAGCTGCAGACGCCGTCCAGGGCAGGACTGGCCTGCAGCCTCCCCTTTAGGAAGGAGCAGAACCCAGAACTCAGGTCTCTGACCCAAGTCCGGAGCTGCAGGAACTCACACGGCATCCAAGGAGTCACCGCATGAAAATACAGTTAGAGAACGACTATGGGGGTGACTTCTGTTTTTCCTTCCTGCCTCCCCACCTCCCTTTCTTCTTGCTTCCTTTTTTTTTTTTTAACTCCTGTCTCCAGAAAGGACGTTGCAAACAAACAACACCATCATCAACCATCTTTACCATTCCACAGACTCAAGGTTGCTTAAAGACCCCAGATAGTAGGAGAGATGTAATCGCACTTGAAGAACCATTCTGACGCACGAGTGTCGTCTTGCAGGGCAGGGGGAGAGGAAGGCCTGTTCTCCCTTCCACAGCCCTTGAAGTTTGCACCATGTAAGTGAATACAGTGATCTGTTTAAAAGCAAAAAACAAAAAAAACAAACCACCAAACCCCAGACTGTCTTCCTCTATCCACGCAGCTCACTTGGTGAATATTTCCTTATTCTTATTCTTGTTTCTTCGGGCTTGCCTGTGGCACTGTGTGGACAGGTGGCCGGTCGTGTGGGAACCCTTGGCCTCCTCTCAATTAATTTTAAGTTCTGTGAGAAAAAGGGGCCCCACCTTTCATATCTTGCTCCTTTCATGGCCCTTTCCTTCCCAGGCCTTCCAGCCTGACAACCTCAGATTGAATCCTAACTTGTCTGCTTCCCTGGAGCCAGTGATTTCACTACTTTGTGCCTCGGTTTCCTCATCTGTAAAATGGACCAACAGTGTACTCAACTTCCAGGGGTTGCTGGGAAGTTGGAATGGGAGCTAGTAAGTGCTCAACAAACGCCAGCTGTTTTTATAGCTGTCATGCCCCTCTGCCTTGCCCCCTAATCTGTCAGAGACACGGCTCTCACTCTCAACAAATGCACAGTCTACGCAACCGATATTGGAGGGGAAAAGCCATGTGCCTCGAGGTAAGGGTCAGGGGAGAGCGACACAGACCAGGAGAGTGAGGGAAATGTTATGTGTAGAGCTGAGGTCCCAGAGGAGGCACAGGGGCTTCTGGAAAGTGAAAAGCGTAACGACAAGGTCTTCAGTTTCACCCCCAGGGTAGGGCTCCTGGGTAGTCTTATGGTCTCTGAGCCTTTGCTTA